GACTAAGTTTGGTTCCTTCCTGCTGACTTTTCCCGAAGTCATGGTCATGGAAGAAGGTTAGAGAATGCTGACAGATGATGAAGTGTCTCAACAGCATAGGAGCTGGATGGCTTAATGGGTCTTAAAAGATCAGTGTGAGACCAGTGATCTTAACGCTGCTGAGGATTAACTTAACTTGTATTTATTATAAAATTGATTATGTTAGGTGCTTAAAGCCATTGATAGTTGTCTTAATTATTTTGTACTTGAATAAAAAACAAACATAGTACTGCTGCTAAACTAGTACAGTTATGAATCTGGGCACAATTTTGACCTGAACCAGTAGCACAACACATGTTCAATTATATCTATTCAACTTGGGAATCCTAATTGTCTCCCCTCTGGTGTTGGAAGTGTTTAGTCTTTTACAATGCTATGATTTTACGGTTTTTCTAGTGGCCATAGTCTATTGTGAGAAACAATACCCACTTCTGTAATATAAAAAGTATATTAAGACTATTATCATCAACTTTTTTTTCATTTTGTTCACCTCACTCTGTACACACAGGAGAAAAATGGGGTCAAAGCTCCTTTTCTCCTTCTTCCCCAGTGCTCGGATTTTACCTTTAAAATCAACCTTTTCATACAAACTTTGTATTATTCTCATCTCTCTTTTCTAACTCGACAACTGTCGACAACTGTCACGCTGTGCAAACCATCACGAAAACTCTTGCTGAACTAAATAAGAACAAGATCTTGTCCATCCTTTGAGGACTGCTTTCTACATACACCGTCTCATCCTTCCCCCCAATTTTTTCAGCCCTGTCATTGCAGACTTTGCCCCAAAGCAGGCAATGGCTCACATTTGCTTGAACTTGTGCTGCTCCGTTCTCTTTCCCTCCTGTTGTTCTCTCCCTTGCCTCAAAAAAAGCTTTGCCTTCATCACCCATCTTGTGCGCTGAGTGGGTATTTCTGCCTTCTGATGCTCTTCTGTCTATCCATATCTAATTTAATTCCCTCTCTCAGTTTCTGAACCCTTCACAAATTGTTTTCCATACTCTTTTTGGCCCTAATTCTGGACTGGGTACCACCATCATAGCCGGAAATGCTGTTTCCAGCTGGAAATTCATTGATACTGTTGATACTGAGGAAGTGGTTAGAGGACTATCTTGAGCTGTTCTGGCTGCCAGCCTAGCCTGGAGGCTTCTTTTGATAAGTATCAAGAAACTACAGCAAGATAAAAAATTACTCCAATACTTACACTACCACCCAGAATTCAGGACATGGAAGATGTCCAAAAGCCTATTCAGTTCTCCTGCCTGGATTCCAACTATTTCTGCTTGTGCTATTGTATCCTTTGCACATACCTGCACATTGTGTTCATTCCCTTAAATATCTATCCAATATAATTTCTATTTCCAATTGCATTATCATGTTCCATTAAACTCAGTTCCTCTAACCTTCAGACACTTCTTACTATGTTTTCTCAAATTCAGCCCTTAGATTAGAAGGTCTGTGGGTCAGGGATTTGTGTTTCTGATGCTGTTGTTATTTTCTTAGAAATTTATTTTCTATGCATAGTAAATCCATGCTAATGCCCTAAAGTATGGTGGTGACAGATACAGTGAATTAAATGGGACAATCCTCTCCAACCTGGTTCATCTTCCAGGCGTAATAACCAAAGGACCCAAGAGCGTCTTGCAGCCTCAAATCTAAATCAGTGTTTGCTAACTTCTATTTCTCTTTTCTGTTTACTACAATGCATTTTCTCAGTTAAGCATTCATCTATACAACCAAAATCATCACGTGGACATACAGCTCTCAGTAGGAGAGGCAACTGCAGCAGCTATCATTCTTCACTTCAAACCTTTTAGAATTGTTTATTATAGTGCTTTCTTTCAGAAAGAAGGAAAGTTTGTCTAACAATACTGTATTAAATGCGCTGCAAACATTTTTCCCTTTCTTCTAAAACTTTAATTAAGAAGAAAACAGAAGCCTGACCAGTAAGAGACAAATTAGGTAAGTAAAAGTGTGTTACAATGCACCGCTAAGAAGTGATTGTTCAGAAGTGGTCAGTGGTAAAGCATAAAGAAAAAAGTCTTGAAATAGGAAGGTCCTAAAGGCTTTTGTTTGGGGTTGTGTATTTAGGTCGATGGCAATCAAGCTGGCTTAAGCGGCCACGGAGGTAGGTGATAGCTTCTGAACATGGCACTGACTTAACAGTATTTCAAAAAGGTTTTTCAAGATACTTTCTTAATTTCACCACCAAAGAAGAAATACCTACTCTTGGAAGGCAGACTTAAGTTATTATAGAAAAACCAGCCCAGCTTTCTTTGCTTTCCTTAGTTGAGACATATTTCACGTAGGTATATCACAGAGGAACTTTTAAGTACCTCAGTTCTAGAAACCCTTTTAATGCTAAAGCACAAGCTTTTGTTTTTGCAGCTAAGTTTTGTGTATTTCTATTCTGTTGTAAAAGAAAGACTCCTTCCTTGACTTACTGAATTTTATGACCCCTGACGTGAAGATACCGTGCAAGTAGCTGGTGAAATAGAGGTGTGATTTGCAGGCAGCGACAAAGAGCGTGCTTCTAAATTCCGCCGAACTAGGAAGTCTTAAAGCAAGCTAACAAATACAATTAAATGTCACTAAATTCTTCATAAAAGCTATTTACGTGAATTGCGATAAACACAGTGGTGTACATATTTTCAGGATATCAGTCACTTGAAAGTGTAGGAGATCCTTGAGTTTCATGAAGTCTTAAGCAATTTATGATGACTTTTCTATGCTTTTATGCTTCAGGCAATGATTTGAAAACAGAGAGTTTTCTTACTAGTATTGTAAGGCTGAAGTATAATATGCGTCACTCTGAACCAGAAAGGTTTTGAAAGCCGAGGATGGAAGGAGTTACGCTTTACTTCATCCCTCAAGTGTTTGCGTATTTTTGAAATAACAAAAGCCATCATTCCCTTTCACTTGTAGCATGGGGTTTTTTTTAGCGTGCTATAGAATTGGGCCTCCTTTGTCGAAGAGATCTCGAGCGAGTTTGTCTTGATCCACACGGAAGACTCGCATGCGGAGTCTTGTCACGATCCAGATGTCACCGCCCTGCAGTGACACTCGTGAGGTCGACGCTCTGTCCACCCCACCGATGCGTGTGAAGGCGTACCCACGCAGCTCGCCAGAAACGCGACGCACAGTCCACCTTCGGGCGGCCGCTTGCCTTCGGTCGGTTAAGCCAAACTGTGACGAACTCGTACTTGGGAGCGCAGCGGCGCCTGCGTCTGGCGCGTCCTCTGCCACCTCGCCAAACGTCCGATCCACCTCCCAAGGCTTCACGGAAGGTTTTGCGGCGCGTGGCCCAGACGCGGCCCTGGGAGCAGCAGCCCTCGCCCAGGGCGAAGCCTCGCTCCCTTCGGCCGAGCCCGGCCCGCGGCTTACCCCGGCCCC